TTTCCAAATGCATTAATTCGCAGCTTTACTTGGTTAGTCACTAATTAAAAACTCAAGCTACCACCTCAGATTCACTTTATTGTTAAGGAAAAATACGTCCTGGTCCTAATAACATCCCTGAAAACATGATTAATATGGTTGCAGATTATCTGGGGTTTCCACGTGCTGATGTCATCAACTGCATCAAGAACTGCAGACTTTCAATCGGCCTGCAAGCTCGTGCGCATCGGCGCGATTCCCAGAGGGAACCAAATCAAGTCCGAGAAAGACTTACGACCCATATCAATTCTACCGGCAGTGATTTCAAAGGTATACGAACGGCTGACTTTCTGTGCACGTGAGTTTTCTAGTTTCGTTGATAAGAACAATGTTCTCAAGAGTAACATTACTGCACATCGAAAGGATCGACCACTTCAAACAAGCGATGAAAGCTATCAAGGGTTCGTTGGTAACTATGATGATCTTAGCCCATTTCCCTAGAGCCTTTGAAACGATCTGTTTCAGAAATCTTATCAGCAAGATGAGTAAACTAGTTTTCTCTAGAGATTTCCTGATGTGGACACTCAATTATGTTACGCATCGTAAACAATTTGTTCAGATTGATGACACGTATTCATACGAAAAAAACGTTAATTCTGGCATTCCGGGCTTCATTTTGGGTCTAGTGTTATTCAATATTTATGTTGCTGATCCGGGAGAACTTAGAAGTCAAATGCTTCCAGTATGCGGACGACACAACAATCTACGACCATGCCAAAGTATTATGACCTAAATAAATATAAAAACACTATCGCCCAGGCAATTAATAAACTTAGTGTCTGGTCTAAAGAGAGAGTATACCCTAGCCTTAAACAACGACAAAACCATGCAAGGTTATGATCCTTTCCAACCCGCAAATGTCCAGAGTACATCACCTGACAACTATGATCCTAACATCTCAGTCAGTGGATATAAACTAGAATATAATGTATTAAATATTGCAAACTGCTAGGAGTTCACATCAATAAATATATGTGGGACGATCACATCAAGCACACGGTATCTGGATGCTACGCCGCTGTATCAATACTACAAGAAAACTGAAATATCTCGCCAAATATGAGCTTAGAAAGCAACTAGCAGAAACATCGATTTTTTTTCAAAACTAGATTATGCTGATCTGGTTTGCTAGCTCTCGACCACAATTCTTACTGCGACGTTTGCAACGAGTTCAATTTGTTGCCGCAAGTTTTATTTTTGGTCACAAAATTAAGAACTGTCGGGATGTACTTAAAATCGAATGGCTTCCAATTAATGAGAGAAGAGATTTCTAAAAATAATAAAACAGGAATGTCCCAAGGAACTGCGCTCAACCAATTCCATTAGATTAACGATCCCGACCGAAAACGGCACTTTCCACAACAATGTGTCGAAGCTAAAGCGCGCGACGGAGCACCATGGGTAAGAAAATTTGGTTATCCATCCACCCAAGATATTTTGATTCTGACAAAATCGTCAGTCCGTATGTCCACCACCTTCACGTAAGCCGGTGGAAATTTCGCATTTCAAGCACATGCACGTTTTGGGGGTAAATATTATGGCCACCCGTACAAACAAAGCCGAGACTTTTTTCGACTAAATATTTTAAATGTCTATACTGACGTGAATAACCAAAGAAAGAGCTAGATAGAAAGATAAAAAAAAAACTAAACAAACAGTCTGAGTTCCCATCTGGAACTCAGAATTTTTTTCTGTGTTCTTCTCTCCACACATATCATTTCATTTATTAGACGAATTTCGTTGCAGAAGAACATAAAAATTTTATAGCGGCGGTAAGAAAATGACAAAATGCTAGCTGCCACCAAGGTGAAATTGCGCGGCAGTGAAAAAAGCGAACTGGAACACCTACAACATTTCCTCCATAAATCGTGTAAACAGGAAGTTTCATGTTGTCGTGAAAAAAGAAATGTGCAAAAAAAGTGTTATGCACCACCTAATGTTTTTTTTGTTTTTGTTTTATTTGTTTCTCAGGTTTTTTTGTCGTTCTCGTTGCCGTCACCGTTTAGCATTGCACTATTTAATTTTCTGTTTGAGTAAACTGCAAGTATATTAACGAGAGCTTTCCTCTTATCCCTGGCTAAATCAATTTAGTATATACTAAAACAGTGGATAGTGTTTTTTGGCGCGCTCTGATTGGCTACTCAACCTCCGGTTATCCAGTGCTATTCACTGATTAACTTCCAGTTCCTCCAAGCAAGCGACGCCGAACTTGCTTAAGTTACGAGCAAAATGGCTTCCCGGTTTGCTGCCGTAACAAATAAAGAAATTTCACAAATAATCAAACAAGCCGTTCCCGAAATACACGGAGAAGGTGACGAAATTCGGTTTGAAAGTTTTAACAGGTAAGGCTTTGTCTGTTTGACTTGAATTTACAGATGAAACCGGTGAAAAAGTTTTTTGTTTACAAATGCAAATTAAGCTTAGGACTTGCGTTTCTTTGTTTTGCTGAGATGTTCATAAATAAGCTCAAAACTAAATTTAAATTTAAAGAATGGTTTTAAGTACAAAGAGAAATCACAACTCCTATTGAAAAAATTTCTCCGCAGGAGCTAAACAAATGCCTTCAAAAGTTTTATTTGTGGCAAGAAAACGCGACGGCCACGGCCGTTCGGTCATTGCGCGCCACAATTGTAATCGTTGGCAACATTAAATGAGTTAATTAAAATTCATCATTTTTGTGCTAAATTATCTCACTGTTTTAGTATGACTAAAACAATATTCACCTCAGTGTCGGTGGCTAGTGATGAATATTTACCTCGCCGCTTCGCGGCTTGGAAAACACACTACTGGCAGCCTTCACTTAGGTGAATAATTGTTATGTATTAGACGCTCGGTGACGATGAAACCACATTTCATTAATATCAATTAATATTATGTTGTTCTTCTTCTGGTTTCACGCCCAATGCTATTACCTGAGGCCAATTAACTTTAGTCTTAAAACAGTTCAAGTTATTTTTCACAACTGCCTCCCCTGTATCATACACAACATGCAACCCTTTCCAAACGCATAAAGTGACGTGAGTTAATATACGGTTTGGAATTTGCGAGGAATTTTAGTTGCTATACAAACTTAACGGGATGGGGGTGGAGAACAGGAATTACACAACGAGGGCAAATACCACAGTAAAAACCAAGGAATTCATGGCAGATATTATATAAGCGGCCCAAAAGAAAGAGGTTTCTTAGCGAATTTGTCTAATTGTACAAAGTAATTTGCTCTTCAACGAATCGCTACCAATTCGCGCGATTGTCAGTTTAATAGTCGTGTTTGAATAGGGTATGCATGCTTGTCGACCAAGCCCAAAAAGTCTTTGGTCTAAAAAACAGGTCACATTTCCACAGGTCTGAGTACAGGTCACCATGATACAGATAAATGAACAGAATTAAAAATGCCTCCTAGCCCTAATCTCTTAAAAATGTTCTATTAGATCTATTGAAATCTATGTGGCTGAGTAATTTATCGATGGGACAGTGACCTGTATGTGCTCTTGACCTGTGAAATGTGACCTGTACTTTTGACCATGCACCCAAAAAGCCGTGCCAATGAAGAGCAGCCATTGTAGGTGAAACAGGATATTTTTAGAAAGTTGTCATGTGCTTTCTTTAGCGTTCTTTATTGTTCTCTTTTCACCAGTCTCGTTGTTTTTTAGGACCACCTCAGTTCAATTTCTATCCAACTCGACCAATACTACTTCACAACAATGTTATATAATGATTGACGGGTTTATAGGTTTAAACGGTGGTGTTACGTAGGTGGAGGAGTGAAATGTAATATAAGGTTTATCAACTGAGTTGGATAAAACAGATTGACCACCGTTAAGAGGAATTGAGAAGCTGACGATTCGAGCCCAGCCCTTCGGCAGAGCGAAGCAGGGGATTGTGGGTTGTGTTTTGATATGTTATTGGTTGGAAAATAGTTTAACGTGAAAAAAAAAATTAATAATAATAAAAATTGAAATTGATTTAATTGAATGAATTCCTTTCGTAGATTACGTGGGGATCAAGCCAAGGGTTTAGTTCTAGATTTTTGCGGCTTTCTGTATTGCCTTGGTGATCGAGAAGGAAGGGACTCCAGATTGCTACTAGGCTTTTTTGTAAACAGTCTTATTTGATAATTAAATCTTGATTTATCGCAACTAACATCGCAAGTAACACATCTGACAGCAAGTAACACGCTTGATAAGAAAAAAGCAACGCAAAAGGAACAGGAAAGTAGATTCAGACGCGTTAATAACAATGCCATGTTGATGTATGCGAACGCATGATCACTCAATGCTCTGAATCGAATCGGTAGGCGATTCGTGCGTAGGCTGGCATAATTATGGTAACTGATGATAGCCAATTTTTCAAAAAGATGAAAGGAGACAAGACAAGAACCTTTAAATGGAACAACAATTAAAAACGCTATTAAAGAGTCAATTTAATAAACATTTCCACTTGCCTTTTGTTTTACTTTAAGTGGCATTTAATGTCAACAATGAGTATAGGTCTCCGAGTAACAGTTTAACTCATTGATCCGTTTTTTAGTCTTTGATTTTCTACATACATCACCAGAATACCATTTCAATAATAAAAACAGCATTTCTTGCGGTGATAGTTGGACTAATCGACTGTATTTTTTTTTTTTTAGGGTTTTTAGCTTACCCTCCCGCCAGCAATATCTTTAGGGAGAAGTTTCACAATATAAGTGTGTTGTGGTTTATATTGGGACCTTCTTTCAGGTTCTCGAATAATATGCCTTCTTTTGGTGATTGTAGTGACGTTATTATGGTTATTGCAAACTTATATAACTATTATTAACTATATTGGTATAAATGACAGGTTCTGAGATATAACCATAGTAGAGCATAAACTGGCGGAATGTCTGCGACAGTTATTTTTAATGCTCGGGTCGCTTAGGGTACTAACTGAACAAGAGAAGATAATTCTTTGGATCTCAGAGGCCGCTGACGAGCTCTGCGATGCGGACAAACATCACAGACCAATGTTGTGCTGAATCACTTAATAGCAGCGAATTCCGTTTGGTAACATCATTATGGCCTTTCAGTGCCGTGATTGTAACATTTCTTCTAATGATCATCATCAATGTAGCGACAATCGTTGGGAACATGATTGTTATTGTGGCAGTCACAAAGATCGACGCACTGAAAAAAATGGCGAACAACCAAGCTGTAATTTCACTGGCGGTCGCTGATCTCTTGGTTGGCTTGCTCGTTATGCCATGCGCCATTGACAGTATCTTAGTGGGGAGATGGCGTTTTGGGCATATCTGGGGAAAGCTTAACGCCTTCGGAAATTTCTGCTTCTGTATTTCATCAATCATGCATTTAGCATTGCTATCTGTCGATCGGTACATTGCAATATCCCGCCCATTGGGCTATGTGTCTATAGTAACCAAATCTAGAGCGCGAATCGCCTGTTGCTTTCTATGGATGTACTCAACTTTCTGGGCTTTGCCACCTTTATTCGGCGTGAGCTCTTACGAATGTTTTATTCCTTACGTTGGAAAATGTCTAAAAAAAGATTGGGTTCAAACCCAATTAGCACTCGCGTTCACTGTTGCAGTGGTCTGTGGGACATATGGGTCAGCGGTTGTCGTCATGTTCTACGTTTACACCAAGATATTCGTCGCGATTTATAAACAATCTAGAACAATTGGAGTGGCCATGGACGTATTACGAAGAAATAGCCTCGAAACAGCTAGGATAAATTCCCCGGCAAAGAAAGGCGTTATAACAGTTTTAATTGTTATTGGAACGTACATGGTTTGTTGGTCGCCATTTTGTATCCTTCTTTTCATTCAAATGAGCCAGGGAAAAGAGGCAGGAGGGCCGGCAGCAGATCTAGTAACAATGTTCATTGGATTCGCAAATAGCGCTTGCAACCCAATCATTTACTGTATAAGACACAGAGCGTTTCGTGAAGCAGCAAAGGCTCTGTTTTTAAGACATGAATTCTTCAAACGTATCTTCAGAAAGCAGCGTCCAGTACAGCGGAGTTCTAGCATACGACCGCGAACGACAACCTTGACGTCATTCCTACAGTTAAGTGAATGAAGTTTTGAATGTGAAATTTGATCTCCATTTGATCTTCTAGTTCTATCGTCGTACAGCAAAAAGTGTGCACTTATTGCAGTCCCTTCTCGAGGCTTTTAAGGCGCATCAATTTCTTTAATTTCTCAGTGTTTAATTACAAGTTTGACTGTCCATCTTGAAAGTATGCAAACATGTAAATACCAGAATGTTAAATTATGAGTTTTTAAGTGTTTTTATAGATATAGTCTTTAAGTAAAAAGAAGAAGAGAGCAATATAATGTGAACACGTTAAGGATTTCATGAGGCGTACAGACTTTAGTGTTTCAAAAGTTTGTCTTGTAACATAAGATAGTATTGATGATGAAAGGCATTTTCTATTTAAGGAACACTATTAATTTGTATTCAAATGACCTAATAAATTTCTTAATTCAACTTCTTGCTCCTCCTGACCAACAGTGAATCAAATATCACGATTATTTTGATATTGAGAGTTCTGGTCTGAATTAGTTCTTCTCTTTTGTATTAGGAGTGTTTTGTACCATTCAATCAATTTAAAATCATAAAGTAACACATTTTCAGAATTCAGTCGTGGTTTTTAGACAAAGTTTATGCTGTTCATGGTTAACGAGTTGCACAGGCGACCAAACTAGGAAGCCTGAGGCCTTCCGTCGTGTCAGGTTATTACGGGTACTTTTAACAATACCGGAAGATTTAGGAAATAGTAAAATTATCGTGTTTCGTAACCTTGATTATTCACTATTTAGCCCCTTAGTGCAGTCAATTTTTTTTTGCCTTATTATCAGAACTTCAGAGGCCAAACCTAAAAGCCTTCGGGACAGTCGATTGTATTAATGAGGCCGTGCCTAGGGTGCTCGAACTCAAGACATGATCTTTTTACTATTAGGCAAAAAATGACCGACCAGAGCGGTTATTAAATTACTTTGTAAAGAGAACGAAGTCATTTTCGATCCAGTCAGCTCAGTCTGTCCCTAAAGAGTCAATGCAGGGCAGTCAAGCTTTTCAAACAAGCCTGTTTCAAACGTCGATCGTTATACGTGCAGAATCTAAATACAAATAAGCCAGAACAACAAATTTTCCTCAATAGCATTAAATTCGGCGAGTGAATTTTGACATAACTTACTTAGTGACTTAAACCAACCTCTTGAGGCTAAAAATGGCAAATGACATTTACGACAAATATAATATAATCTTTGCTACCTAATGGTCCCAAAAGGCGAGACAATAAATATAAGTCTTAGGGCCTGAGGGCTCTTTAAACTCCCATACTCAACATCGAATTTAATCTGCATGTAATTACCCTAAGTTTTCAAAATGCCTATGATAAATCACCCAGATTCATTCAACTGTTTGTTTCTATGGGCTTTCTTTTTAAAAGGGCTGTGTGTACCACGGCTGTTTAGTTCATTTTGTTAATAATGCCAATTACACGTCCTTAATAGACCTCTTTAGCTTGTATGCTTTGTTTCCCCAATTAGGTTATGTGATAACGCCCTTGTTTTTGTTTTTGTTTTTTTTCAAATTTCGTCTTATTCACGTGAATATCTACGCATAATTTATGGAAAGACAAAGGGTCATGGTCCCCTGGGACTTCTATTAGGAAAACAAAACATACAAGCCAAAGTGGTATATTCGCTATGGGACTTGAGAAATCACTCGGTGCATGTGAATTAAAAAATCAGAGCTTCGTGTCAACGAAATATATTGTCTCCCGAACATAATATCAAATGTTACAAACAACAAAAATGAACTTTCAATTAATAACTATTACGCCAACAATTTTTTTCAAAAACCACAATTGCAATACGTTTCAATCTTTTCAAGTTTTTCCATCCTTGCCTTCTTTTATATTTGTTGTGTTATTTGTACATTTTTTTTCTCTTGAAGAGTTATTTTTGTTCCACTTAGTTTAGTGGCGATTGAATCAGATAAATTTTTCTCGTGAAACAGCTTCTAACAAGAAGAAAATGGTAGAAAAACAGTGGGGTAGTTGTAAAGCAGACCTAGGTTTTTTTTTTTTTTAATCAAGTTTCGGCCGCGTTTGTTAACCGCAGTGACTTAACCCTTTCACTGCCAAATGTGGCCAAAGGCAAATTTCCACCACATTTGCAAATTTCATTTTCTAAAATTTTGAGAAACAAATAGCATCATATGAAAGTACAGGCAGAGAGCTTTCATTTGAATGGTCACATCACAGAATTTCTTCCATAGACTCAAAAGTTAGAGTTACCTTACAAAACTCTATCAAACACTCTGGCAGTGAAAGGGTTAATATTCAATTTTCTTTAACTTCAAACCACAAGTTCAGTACAGTAGATTCTATACAGAGTTTTTATTCAAAATAGCAGAATGGTTTCAAAATATGTTTGTCTAATATAAACCTTGCTTTCAGTTGAAAAACAACAAAATCCAATTTATAATATATGTACTACTTAGCGTAAAGTGCTTGAACTAAACTACACTTTAAGTGTCATATACTTAATGTTTACATATTAAATTAATTTTTACTCTAACAAAACAAACGTTTGATACAAACTTACTCTATGGGATGTTACGGACGTCATTAAATCTTTAATATTTTTGCATTATCAGTGATTTTTGGTCTGCCTTATTAATGAGAGAATGCGTCTCAAAGAATTCCAATTTCCATTCAAAATGGAAAAGTTAAATCAACATGTTCAGAAAAATTTCGGCATTTTCAAGTTTACTACGCAAACTGAATTTCCAATTATTTTCAGTCATAGTTTGATTTTCCCAACAAGACTTTTTCCTTCAAAGATAAACTTAACTTCACTGCATTTAAATCGCGACCAGACGAGTACAATCGAAGATCAACGAAATGACATCAACATCTGATACTATGTTTTTAACTCATTACATCTGGGTTATGGTACCATTAATCCTGCCTTGGAATTATTTACAAACTGGATATAAATTGGTCTGCCGCAAAGAGTTTTCTCTTTGTTTACCAAAAAAATAAAGTAAAATAAAGTAAAAACAGGAAAAACAGTGTAATTGTGGAGGTTTTAAGCTAGCCATCGCTTCAAGCGAGATGGTCATAGGCCAAAATCGTTTTTTTTGCTAAACACTAATTTCCCTTTGAAACGCATGGTGGAACTTGCTCGTGTGTTTATATACAAAATAGGGGCAATCGAGAAAAGGAGCATATTAATCAGCTTCAACGAAGCTAAACGCGACAAATAGACCTTTCAAGATCAATGTAAAGCTCTTGAGTATAACAACTTTCAAAAAAGTAAATTTATAAAATAAATATGTTAGCAAAAATATTAAATTTATATGTGCCTGTTATTTAAGGTTTGGTTTAGTCCCTTAATTTGTAAATAATTCTTTTCACTGATTCTTCTGATGATTTACGTTGTCATTTAAATAAACGTTACTTCAGTGATCATTGGTAGGGAGCAAGTAAACGAACAGAAACTTCCATGGTACTGTTTGTTTTGATGCGTGTAAAAGGTATTTTTTCGTTACCCTTACGATAATGCACCTAATTCAAAATGGCGACAATATTGCTTTTCTTTTATGTCCATGTTTAATTAGCCCTTTGGAGCGTCGATTGCACTTACAGAATTCAAAAGAATGTTCACCTTGAAACGAGGCTTCGAGAGTCAATTATCAGTAAGATGAAAGAGTAACAAAATTTGTCGCCATTTTAGAATAAGGTATATGGCATTTCCCCTTGCTTCAACTTGTTGATACATTACGTTGTTAGCAACCTATTGTCATATATTACCCGGTCCCCAGATAAGGAAAATACAGTTTTTAACCACGGATTAAATTGAAGTACATCATATGCATGGCGAAACATTCAAATAAAGCTTAACGAGCGATGAATTTTCTATCAAATACTATACTGAATGGAAACAAGCGGTCGATATTATTCACCGTAGTTGTAGTGATAAGAAAGTCTAATTAAACTGAAGGTACGGAACTGGAAACTGCAGATTTAATGTACCGTCGTCACAACGAACATATTTTCCCGGATTCTTACTTAGTTGGCAATTCGTTAAAAAGGGGTTTCATTGTACAGCTGTATTAGGCTTTACAAGGAGTAATTAAAGTAACTTTTGATTGTACTATATTGAAATTCGTTAATGTGAGACTGACTGTAGGCGAATCCTTACTAATGTCTATGTTTACATTTTCCTCATTAACATGCATACGACTTAATTCAGAGAAGCCGTCAGTGGCATACGAACTAAATTCAGAAGTTGAAAAAGCTGACTGACTTGGGCAATTTGTGCAATTTTCAGCTTTTTGCAAGCGATAGTGAAGGAAATATCAGCGATGAATAACTGCGAAATTGCTGGGTGGCAAAAACGTTAATGAGCCATACGTTCTTTGTAAAATTTCGAGTATGTTAAGGAAAATTTCTCCGAAACCATTCGGTATATCGAGCTCAAATTTTCAGAGATAACTGAAATTGTTGTGCTCTTTCAATATTCACAGATTTTTCTCTATTAGCTCCATCGGATAAAGATAAGCATATGTTAATGAGGCAAACAATGTAAACAAAGATTCGCCTATTCCACAATTGAAGACGGCAGCTTTCTTCTCACAAGAAACTTGGTCTTAACCTGGTTTGATGTAAGGTCTTTTAAATGTGGAAGACGAGTTTTTAACTCTGAAAAGTATATGAACTAAAGCGCTTTCCATTTGTATGAAAAATATGGTCTTTCACTGCGTTTTCAAGCAAGAACCTTGTCTTCACGATAATGTTATCGTCACCTGGCTTTAAACGCACTTAAGCTTAAGGACCAATGGGATAAAAAGCAGCGTTACGTTGTTTTTCAGGAGGCAAACAAGTGATAAAATCTGCAAATACAAGGAATCGCGATCGAGTTTGTTCATTCAAGACAACAGAAAGTGAAGAATTTTTCATGTTAATGGGAAATTATGGGAGGAAGTGATCATTGTTATTTTTATGGATGCAGTAGCGACAGCAACAGTAATGACGTAGAACTTGTCGAAACTCGAACTGTACATTTTGCAAGACTAAAATCTTCTCGTTTTGAGAGAATATAAAAAGTCAACCGCGATTTCTCGCATTGGCAAATTTTGTCGTTTGCTTGCCCACTAAAATAACACGTGACATTGCTTTTACTCCATTACTCCTACAGCGCAGGCAAAGACGGTGGGTCTCGAGAATCAAAGGTTTATTTAAGTGGAACAATTGTCTCCAGTGGACTGTTTCTTTTGTTTTGTTTTTTTTTAAAAAAAGAGGGAATACGGCTTCAAGGGGGGTTACATCTGTTGCTCGTTGTTAACTTACAAGACTAGATGTTCGCAGCCACGCCCGGCTGATGTGCAAAGATAATCAGAGTAAGCATTGCTCTAACGACAAATGAAACTGTTCCATCTGGTGAAAATCTTTCACCCGCTTTTCCACACAAATGAAAAACGTTTAAAAATTTATCTTGAACGCGATGCAATTAACAGGCAGAACGTTCATACTACAGCTAAGTTCCTCGCCTCAATTCTAATACATACAATCCTGCTCTAAACTGGTTGCTAACTGGTCATTCAGATTCGGTTCTGACAAAAACTTCTGGCCTGTTGTATTTGCTTTATGCAGATTCGTCCGGGCCTTGGTGTGAGTGACAACAATGGATACCAGGCTGCTATCGGCCTTTCCCAAGTAGAAAGTGACGTCATCAGCTGGGCATTCACAATTACCATTTCTGCTTTCTCTAAGAGTGGGAATAAATTTACCTGTGTAATCAAAGACTTTAGTTTGCTTCTCGCGCTGTAGTTTTGTGGCCGGTTGTCTTCCGTTAGAGTAGAAAACCTGGTGAGGGACAGAAAAAGAAGAATTTGAGCATATACGAATTGTACAATGTGTTTTGTGTAAGGTAATTCTCGCCGAGAAAAACCTAGTTTTTAATGGTCACTTTTATTGTTAACGATTCGTTTACATGTAATTAGGGCTAGTGAAAACAAAAGAGTCGTCCGAGTTTTTTATTTCATTTGTTCCTCACGGGTATTTTTGCTGTAGTTGTTGTTGTTTTATGTTTGCTCTTTATGCCAAAAAAAGTCACTGTGGCATCATGTGTGAACTCCATCCGTACCTCATTACTTTTCAACCAGACAAGTTAGTACAGTGATTTATTGAAGGAGGTTAAGCCCTCTCCCGATCGCCAAATGATGAAACTTCTAACATTTGACACTTGCTTCCAACACTACGTCATTCTCGATAACACCCGCACTAGAATGACGACGGCTATTGAGTTTTCCCGCCAAATTGACACTGGTTCACGCGCGCGTTTTAGAATCTAGATTTCTCTACTAAGTTACAAGGGAGTAGTTACCCTGGTGAGGGCCAATCGTGTAGCTAATATATCGTAATCCTCAGTTACTTCGAGTAGCAGCCCGCGCTTCAAATAGCTCATCACTTTCTTAGTTTCCGGACAGGTGCTCTCTACTTCCGGTAGCTTAATTTGCTTGGCACCCGGCGGTCCGTACACTTTACTGTACAAATCCATTTGTAACAGTTCCGGTGCTATGGGGCTCCCATAGAAGAACCTGATGATGCGTTCGCTCTCCGTCAGCCTCGCTTCAGTGTACAAAACCTCTAGCTTTCCATAGAATACCCGGATATGCGTTGTGAAATCTTAAAGTGAAAATGATAAAATGTGTAAGAGCTAGTACTGTAGAATAAGAGAATGTTCAATGATGAACGAAAGTGCCGTGTTTGGTCATTATTTTTCTTTGTCTTTTTGTTGAACATTCCCTTACTTACTCTCTAAAGTGCCACGCAGTTTATCGGAATTTTTTTTCCATTATTTGTTTGATCATGTACTGTAGAATATTAAGTTTGAATCCCTAGAATTTTACAAAGCGTTTTACGGCGTAAATTTTGCTGCTTATTTAAACAATTCTCAATCCGACAAAGGGTTCGACTGTTCTTTTAACTTGGCAAATAAAATAGCGCGTTATTCTATTCAAAACGTTACACGATCGGTTCCAAAACGTCTAATAGTATATGCCTTTTAAACGAGATGTGTAGAACCGGACTAACATTGAAACCTTTTAAATATATTCATAGCCCGCGTGAACCGCGTGGTTTTTCGGGAAAACGTTTCGGGATAGTAAAATACCAAAGGTTTATCTAAACTGCATGATGTATTCTTATCACTTACCATTACAATTATCTGAAGGCGATTTACTCGCCCTTGAGAAGGAAGACCGGGACATATCATCCATACAAGGAATGGTGACCTAAATAAGAAAAAAGTCGTTTTGAGTCTTGAAGTCATGGTGGGTCATGGCGTGGAAAGTCGCCCATCCAAGACAGTCTTGGATTCTGGATTCCACACCGTGGATTTCGGATTCCGGATTCAAATCGTCAGTTGATTTCCGCGTTCCCTGAGCTGTATTCCGGATTCCAAAGTCCAGGATTTCGGAGACCACAAGCAAACATTTCTCGAATTCCGGAATCCAAATTCCCTTACATGGGGCAAGAAATGGAAAGGAGACAGTTTCTGACGATTTTTATCCTACGAAAACGTACCGTGCGCCCCAAATCATCCAGCTCAATCCCAGATGGTACTGTCGAAACAATAAAAATAAAAAAAAAATGCCATTGACATACGTGTTCATTTTAATAGCAAAGAAAACAAAAACCTTTAAATTATAGTTTATGCTGGATGATCCCTACCTATTAACCCGTTATCCATGTTGAGATGAGTACTTGTTGAAGATGAAGCAGGCGGCTAAGGGCAAAAAAATTAAAATCAAGAATTTCACGAAGAAAAGAATGACTAGAAAATATGTTTTAATTGGACTATATACATTTAAGGACGCTATTTTAAAACTGCGTTTTGCGGGTAGCAAATAAGACAAATAAGAGGTTTCGGAAACCGTTGTTATACGTATACTCGAGTCATAACTCGTACTGCCTTAAGTAATATACGATGGCTTTACTGATACAGGAGATTCGGCATTCAAGGAACCAGGAGATCAATTATTCCATAAAAAATTTACAAAATTTCAATGTAATGAGTCATTACGTCCCCTATTCAGATGTAATCCGCCTTTCTTGAGTCCGATCTGGGTAATATTAGCGTGACTTATCAGTTTTCATCCATTTTGCCTACAGAACTGTTTAAGCCGACGGTTAAAAGCTTTCACTGCATCACCGTTAGCATCATTCCGAGTTGTTACTTCGGATAAAACAATTTCGGCGTCACGGGAATTGTCAATCTACCTCGCTAGAACGACAGTTGCATTCGCAACCATATTAGGCTCAATGGATCACAGGTCAACAGAATTTTGACAGAGAATGAATAACCATGTCCGCCTTTCATGAATAAGACATAATAGTGCACCCAGTGGAAATCGTGTTGCTTGGAAACCTTAATTCAACTCGACGTCATGCACAATCGATGACGTCACTACGACTACCAACCAGAAGTCAAGATATGTAAATAAATATAAAGCCGACTCGTGTTTCTGCGCCTCGCTGTGCGATCCACGCACGTTCCACGCGCGATGCCAATTTCTACAAAGTTATCAACTCGCTCCGCTCGGAATCATTTCACTATCTCACTGGTCAGGCACTAGCCTGCGAACAATTTTCCATTCCTGGCGGGAGAAGCGAATCGCGAGAGAATGCACAAGCGAGCACGAAGCCGCGAGAGGCGAAGAAAAAGGACAGCTTCCAACGATCAGTAAAGGTTTTTCATAACTGCTTCGTCCAGCTCGACGAAGCGAAATACCATCGGTCAATTGACAGGTTTTTTCCCAGTCTCTCGCTCCCACGTCTTCGTTCGCGTGCGGCTCACGCGTGATTTCTCGTGCAACGCGCGACTCCCCCAAAAGAAGAGCTTGGTCGCAGACTATTCAGGCACTAAACTGCCCTCTTTTGCTGCTCACCTCATCTGGTATGACAACTCCTCCCCACCACAACTTCATAAGACCACTTGGATTATAATTATTAGCAGCAAGAAAATGCTGCAACAGTGCTTGTCCATTGTCACCCAACATGGAGTTACTTGCCACGTGACCGTTAGCTGGAAAAACAGCCTCGATGACTTCTCTTCTGGTGTTTACGAAGCCGCTGCCAGCGGTAAATTCACTATTGTAAAAACCGTGGCCGTTGGAGTATGAAAAAAACTGATTTACTTGATTCCCACATGTTGTTTCGTCACCACTCAACATTGGTTCATATAGGTATGGTGGAATGGTCTAACCAGAACAGAAGATAAGGAATGAATTAGGTCCAACGATGAACAGGGAACCTACCATACGGTGTGTAGGATGCGATAAATTTGTCACG